TATGTGTGTAGAGGAGGATGGCTGGAGGAAATGGGGGAGAGAGTGTGGAGTGTGTTCAGTGGACAGCCATTCATCCTGAGCTGAGGGAAGGTTTCCAAATCTTCCCCCTGACATTCTTCTGGGCTCAAAGAAGCCCCGAGACAGAAGTGGCCCAAAATTGGCACAGAACACCTTTGTGTTGCCAGGGACAGCCACTCTGCTGAGGCATTGTGGGGGCCCAGTGCTCTCTTGTCTTCTGTTCTCACCTTACTTCCTGGTTTGGAAAAGGAGGCTGGGAAGTCAACCATAAGGAGGACTCCATACTACACTGTATGTCCCCATGTAACCTACATATTTGTCTCTACTGGTAGTAGTGGCATGGCTTGCCTGTACAAACATCCATCCAGTGTTGACATCAACCTGAAGGAAAGATTATTCATATCTCAAGTACAGTAGTTATCCAGACTAGCTGGTAAATCAAGGTCTGGGGCCACTGTTAGGCCTAAGCAAGCCAGGGTGCTACCAGCTGGAGAAGGAAGAAGAGGAGGAAAAGGAGGAAGAAATATTTTGAATTTAATTTCAAATGCCCAGCCTGCTTTAATAGTCCATTTCTGCATGTGCCAGTGAATATAAGAGAACTAAACACCTGATACTGAGAGAAGATTACAGGAAGGCTATAGGAGGATCCCTACATCTCTACACTCACTGTAACATTCCATAACAACCTTCTGCTTATTTTGTGAGCCTGCAATTTATGTGCTCACACTGCTGTATATGAATCACATACTGAATGAGTAACTGATAACTGTATGGTCTAATAAAGAACCAAAGTGAATTAAAATAAATGATGGCTCACGGTCAGCACATTTTTGAGTAAAAGACTCAAACTCATACTTTTCTACTCACTAACTTATCCAATCTTGCTTGCTAGAAATATTTGCGGTGAATATAACAGGGCCCACTTATCATCTATGAAATATTGTATTATGTGTACTGAATCTAAGAATGAATCATCTTAGCTCTTGAATCCTCTTAAGGAAATCTTAAGTTTACCTACACATACACAGGAAACCCTATACAAACATATCGCGAAGTGCTTGAACGGCATTGGGTGGTCAAAATATCAATTTATGATGCCAGTTACGTATATGCAATGGAAGCTCAGGAAGTTGATTTTGTTCTGTTTGAAACTTTGAAATGTTAAAAATCTTTACTCATCATATACTGTACAATGGCGTCAGCAAAGTAATTAGGAAATTGTGACTTGCCAGAGCAAAAAATGCACAGATGTAAAGGATAAAATGAATGATGACTGAATTCCATCTAGCTGCTTGTTCATGCTGGTTTGCTGCCATACTGTCCTTTGAGAAGCACAAGGCCATCGTGAATACTATTAGTAACACCTGTATTCTTTCTACTATGACAAGACATTGTCTGCTGTGAAAAAGGTCTATAAAACACTCAGAGGTGTCCTAACGTACTTATAGAAAATAATGGACTGCTTTGGAAATTAAAGGAAGCTTTACGGTTTTTATGTTGCACATAAATATGCATTCATGTATTACATCCACTGCTCTATCACTGTGTAAATAGACATACTTACATATGTCCGCTATACTGCATTTTTATTTTCAGTCTCTGTGTTTTTTTCTGATTAGATGCTAACTGTACTTCAATGGCTTTGTATATGTACTCTGCACAATGATAATAAAGTTGAATACATAATTTAACCTTAGCTGTAATTCCCAAAATAAAGTTTCAAATAAAGCATTCTGGTTACCATTTGTAATAGTAAATTCACCGACAGGAATAACAAATGTTTATCTCCTGCAGTAGCAACAGGCTACATTCATCACTGGCTAAAGGTCCTTGAGAAAAACCCGGCACTTCAACCTGTTGCAGGAACACATCTCATTTCACACATTTCAATCCTCCAGTGCAATCTGTATGTGTTAATGAGGGAAATATGCAAATACTGCCAATGGTTCAAACCTAATTGCAGTATGAGTAACATGAATATGGAGTGCAAGCCAGTCATAAGTTCCCATTCACCTGTGAATGTGGGTAAAAAGCACCTAACTCATCCACCCACCAGCCTCAGTCTGCGTCATTACTGGATGTTTACACTATGTGCAAACTGGCTACTGGCCTCTGCTCTTTCCACAGCACTGATGCTGCTGATGCTGAGCTGAGCAGCTGTATAGCAACAGGCAAACAGCACAACAAACATGAAGGTCCTCTGGGGATGTTGCTAGAGCTGCTGCACTCCCAGGGACAGCACGCACAGCGTGTTATATATTTGACACAAAACAAACTGTACTGTACAGTGTCTAGATGACAACAAGTCTTGGTATCCTAGGACATCTAATCAAGAAACAGGCTATCATAGAAATTATGTTATGTGCCAAAGGAGTTGCAAAACAAATAAACAAACTACAGTATAGCCTGTGCAATGCAAAAAAAAAAGCAAAACAAGGAGTAACCAAGGAAAGGAAAATTGTCTTGCACAATTCACACAAAATGAAATGAATGGCGACATTTCAAAGGCACTACAGCATAAATCCTAAATGTAAATTATAAAATAGAACCACTTATAAGAGAAAATGTAAGTGACAAACAGGAGAAATAATACAGGACAAGCCAAGAAGTACTGTAAGCATAAGGTGGAAAAGAATGCTTCAAGCTGTTGCAGTCAATATTTTTATGTTAACAGTGGCACAGTGACCACATATAATAAATGTAGTAGGTTACAGATTACTAGCTACCCTGTTTACTGTAATAGGTTATGCAACTATTCAAATTACTTCTTAAAAATAATGTAACCTATTACGTTTTGATTACTTTTCTGAAAAATGTTTAAAATGGGGCAATAAGGCCTAAAACTCCTAAGATAAATTTAAAGTTTTATTAAAGGTTCTTCAACATAATTTTATTCACATAATAAATTACTGTTGAAAGCAAAACCCTTTTCTGATATCAGAAGGAAAATACTGTTGAGTTTGTAGCATTGAAAAGCATTCTTGTCTGACAACATGTCCGCCTCACTTGGCATTGTTGACAGGTCACAGCACTATTTGCTCCAAAGGTTTTGCTTTGTATGTAAATATGCCAAAAGAAGATGCTCTGCAGCAGATCTGAAGCAACAAAATGAGGATAAATATATTGTATACATATTAGTGTTTCACAAAAAAGAATATATGTACATGTAACCCCTTTGTAATCACCAACATGTTGATTAGTTACTCTAATTTAATTTTATTTTTCTCAGTTACATTTACTCTCAATTACTGTGTTTATGATAGGCAAATAATTCCTCAGGGATAAACCCACAAAAACTGTTCACCAAATCTGTGCTCTGCGCTCTGTGTATTTTGTGTCTTTCAGCTCATTGCTCTGGTTTCTCATCAATCTCATCAAGGTGTTCCAGGTGGCAGAAGCAGCAGGCTGCTGTTATCAGAAAAAATAAAATAAAATGAAATAAATAATACAATTAAAAAGCTTTGAAACTTTGCTGAAACACTAAAACTGGCAACTAGCTTCTGAACCTGAATATTGGACTTAAAATTGTCAGGTGGCCAGAAACATGACTCCACATGGGAAACTGTTACTACATTCCCAGTAGCAACTTTAAAAGGTGTGAAAATACCAATGCTGTGCTTATGGCTGACTTTGCTGCTTCCCAGTAGCCAAAAGGTCTTTGAATAAGTATTTGAAGTTCTGAGTCCATGATTACACCCCAACATTTCTGGCTTTTCACAGGGCTCTAGTTTCCTTCCAGCACAAAGCCAGCATAGTTTTGGACATAGTCTTTATGGAGTTTTCTTTGCTTTCCATTTGTGCATTGGTGTATTTGGTATTTTCTAGCCATGAATGAATGTACTTACACTGAGGTGGGAGGAGAGATGCAGGTGAGGCCATGTTTGTGTTGATTAGGCTAAAGCAATGCTGGTGCCCATTTTGACCCAAAACCTGCACAGACCACCTTTAATCACAAACACAGGAGCAATAGTCTGGAACAGATACTACAGTGTATGTTAAAGCTGGATATTGTCTGTCTAATTATGATTTGTTGTTTTGAACCTTAGAGATCTCCTCATGAAGGTTTATAAACTTATTTTTACCATACACACAAGACAAAAAACACCTCTGTTGTCATTATAGATAAGCACATGGTATTAAAGCAGAGCTGTAGTGGAGGCTAAACACACAAACACCATTTCCCCACCTCCCATATTCTTAGATAGCATTTATGCAGACTTTTCTCCCTTTTGACTCAGTAAAATTGTGCTTCTTCTCTCAGTGCTTGTTTTTGGAGCACCGCATCCTCATGTCAGTACCTCTGTCTCATGTTCATAATTATGTGCAGCACTATCAATCCACCTCAAACGTGTGCTACATGGGCCTTAAAACAAATAGACCACTATTGCTGATGTAGCAGTGGAGATCACAGAAGATGCCATGATCAGGCAGAGAGGGAACTAGAGTTCAATGTGAAGGAGGACGGCTTAACTAAAAACAGTGATCTGTTAAAGGGAGGTGGCAAAATAAGTAATTTACAGATGCATCATTGCATTTACCAAAGAAAAAAATTGGAGGATCTTATCTCTGTACTTTCTCATAATTATGAGATCAGGATCTCCTAATTACAAGATCCTGATCTCATAAAGAAAGAGAGAGAATGAATTCTATTAGGGCCTGCACTGGTAGTGAGACAAAGCTGCAGGGAGCCGTCTACATGATCTGTTGGATCAAATCACGGTTAAGCACTCACTCCATTCCTACAGAAATAATGTATTATTATTGAAATGGATATAATACGTGTTTTTCTGCGAACATTATGCCAACCTTTTGAAATGTCTATCCTATCGCTATGTTGGAGATTTGACAAACTAGAATTAGTTACCCCCCTAACTAATGGGGGGGGGGTCCTGTATCGTCAGCTCACAGGGGAGATGGGGGGGCCGCCTTCCTGGCTCCATGCACCGAGCGGTTGTATTAGATGCGCATCCAAGCAGCCGGGCTAGGGGACAGTGGACGGGTGCAGTGTAACGGGGTCGGGAGACACTGGGACACCGCCTTTAACCGAGAGGATTTAATCATTAACCACCATTAACCATTAAGACAGCTGTCCAGAGCCGGAACCGCACATGACGCGTGCGTACCGGCGCCTGAACGCGTTACCAAGAGGTGAAGGATACATATAGCCACACGGAGTCCCGGTGCTTCTGCTATCTGGACCGATGACAACAAAAGGTAACCACCGCTGGGGAGCTTTTTTCTCACTACCTGTTGGACATTTCAGCTGTAATTTCAGAACAAGCGGCCAGCTGTGAGAGTCACGTTGCGTCTTTATCTAAGGGAATGTGTCACTTGGTGACTCAGACAGGAAAACCCCATCTTTTATCCTAGGTAGACTATATTTGAATGATGGCGACAGGCATTGGAAAATTATTGTGCGTCTGCGTTCGTTTTCATGAGTCAAGTACTCGTAGTGATCGTGGCACTGACATGGGCTCCAGCCTGGAGTTGGAACAGAAAGCCCTCTGCCCTTGTTTAAATGAGCAGTAGAATAGAATAGGAGGGCTCGCCTATTCAGCCCTGACCAGGGGACCACTAATTTACGCCTTTGCCATGTTGGGTTCGGGTGCTATTGGTCCTGACTACTAAGCAGAGGATTGTTTCAGCGGCGAAGCCCAAGTCTGTGTGCGAATGTCGCAACATGCAGGCAGAAGAAAACTGCGTCAAGCGAGCTACTGTAACTGGATGTATGTAGAATGGCCTTCGAAATAAAAGTACTGTTGTAGATTTTGGTCAAATGTACAACTTAACCTCATCTCTTCTGTGACACTTGTGTTTCTTAGGCACTGACCAATCCCTAGCTAGAGTGAGCTCAAGCACTGTAGGTCTCTTCACAGCTGAGGATCACACCAGAGATGAGCCAGGCTTATTCTCAGGAGGCCTTAAATATTGTGTTCATCATTGTTCCTATCGTTACCAAATTGTGTTAAAATAATATTCAGATGTTTCTGTGGTAAAGTGCTGTGTTTGTCCCCCCATAGCTTAGAGAATTAGAACAGGAAAAGAAGGGGCAGACTCAGACTCATCACCAATAGATCTATCCAAATTCTCTTCTCAGTGTTCCATGAAGAAGACAACATTTTTTTTCTTAGTTCGACAGCTTTGCCTTATCTGATTAATTTAATTTGTAGGAATTATTGTTCTAGGTCTGCAAGCCTAGATTTTGTCTGACTATGTAATAGGAGGCAAGTTAAGTATAATCATTTTGTACCTATTAAGCCTAAAGAACAGACAGCTTTGAAAACGCTTGTCTGAAATGCTTGTGTTTTACTTTTCTTACTTCTGTAATTTGAGAAGAAAGTCTGCTGGGCTCCAGCTCCCTTAAATGAAACCTTTATGGTGCTTCGACTGAACACGATGCAGAAAGCACATGTAAAAAGTTTGGGGTTTTTATTTTGAAAGGTATAACCGGAATCATCGTGTCTGCACTGTGAGACTCCGATTCCAGAGGATGTCTGCTGCACCTCTATTAATGGTAGAATATTTTTAGCCACCGGGAGGAAATTCTGGATGTAAAACTCGCCGGCACTCTGCTCAACTCCTCGGACATGTCGCCAGTGGAAAGTAAAGCGCCTTTTGCTGGACTTTGATACTCTGATAGACTTGTACAATGACTTACAATATTTTGTGGTACTTATGAAGTTATGGTGCTTGAGGAGTTTTCTTCAAATGTCTGTTTTCAAGTTTCTAGAAGTTGTTATATCACTGTGGTGCTTAACAGTGAGTTTATGGCTTTTATTTATTTCGTGTGGTTAGCTCTAATGTTTTTAACATTCAGAAAGTTTTTTTTAATGAAAAATGAATGTGGCTCACATATTAAAATGTCTGATAGTAAATCGTAGCATTGTTTTTCATATAAATGTTGCAGTCCTCTCAGCTATTACAGCTGACCTGGAAGTTACTCAGGCCCTAATGTATTATTATTATTATTATTATTATTATTATTATTATTATTATTATTATTATTATTATTAGTGCTGCTGCTGTTGTTTTTGTGTAGGGACAATGACATGAGAATTATATTGTCTGGAAACAGAAATAAAACTGGAATGGGCTGAAGCATGTTTACACTAAAGACTAAATATTTTTGTTCCCAGGTGGCTGTCCACTCTACTTGGAGAAGTAACGTTTCTGTGGCCAGTAACTCAATCCCCCTTCTGCAGACCTTTAAATATCTTTCTTGAAGCCGTCCAGCAGTCACGTGGTGTAAGGTGAGCCATTCCCAGCCCAGTACAAGGACCAGTCTGACATGATCAGAGGACTGACAGCATGACCAATCTGCACTGTAATCAGGCCACTTCAGACCTATGATTTCTTATCCTCTCTAGTTTGTACTGAACTTTGAAGGACTGTGTAGAAGTGACTGAAGGGGATTTCTGTGCTTAGTCTCTGAGCTCCGTGATTTCCAACCTGTTTGGAACCTGTACACCTTGTTCTCTTTTTGCCTGCCTTCCCTTAGCACCTTGCAGTGAATGGAGAACATACTGGTCCTGCTCCCAAAGCACAGAGAGGAACACGGGCTCTGCAGACACACGCCTGCATGTGCCTTGCTCCAGGGTTTTTCCTACAGATCACTTGTCTCCTTTTTATTAGTGATCCCAACTTTCAGTAAGCCTCTTTAATGGGATAAATCAATTGGACTGATCAGGTTCCAAGCCAGATCAGAATTCCTTTCTGACTTTCCAAAAACTGCTAGGCCAAGGCATTCTGACCATTTTTTGTCAAGCCCACTGTCTGCTAAAGGCTTCCGCATGGTACTTTGGTCGAAAGAACAAGATAAACTCCCCGACATCGACATGTCCTCTGGGGCCATTGAGATGAAGAAGGAGGGAGGCCCCCTGACCCCGGCCTTCCTCAACTCCAACTGCTCCGTCCACCCGGTGATCGTCACCAAGGGCCCCGAGGAGGTGAACCCTGAGACTGGGGGCGAGTTTGAGCTCACAGAGGTCACATCTTTCACAGAGAGGGCCAGTGAGACTGGGGAGAATGAGGAGAGGCCAGAGATTGTGGTGACAATAGACTGCCGGGCCAATGCCAAAGGTCAACGGGAAGAGGATGCACTCTTGGAGAATGCTAGCCAGAGCAATGAGAGCGATGATACCAGCACTGATCGGAGTCCTGAACCACCAGCGCCCCTCAAGGAAACCTCCTTTTCCATTGGCTTGCAGGTGGTGGTCCCCTTCCTGCTGGCCGGGTTTGGGACAGTGGCAGCGGGAATGGTGCTAGACATTGTCCAGGTGAGTGGTCCGGAGCACACGGCATATATTTTTGACAAATGTGCAAGGTTCTGTAATACTAATTGTTCAGTCAGAGTAAAGGATTCTGTATGGATTAAATCTGTTTAATGCACCTTTAAAACAGTTCTTCATGGCATCAAATGGGATTCTGCTTTTGTATGAGTTGAAACAACTAGTATGAAAAAGCTTATGGAAAGTATATGTTTTGGGTACTTGGGAAAATGGTGCAGTTTGGCTCAGGGTAGTTTCATCTTTATTTGCAGAACAGTTTCACGGGATCACTTGAATTCAAATTAGAGGAGCTCCAGTTTGTTCCTATTTGCTACGGTGCAGTTACCTGTGGAGCGCCGTCTCTTTTAAACCCCCAGTAAAACTCATTTAATGCTTCACAATTGTGCTTCTGCTCTAACTGAGTCACACTGTGGGATGAGTTTGCCCCCTGGATTATTTGAATGAACAGGTTTTACAAGTCCTGGTTGCCTTGGCATATGCCTATCAACGTGCCAGTCGCCTTTCTGATGGCTTGACTTTGTTAATGAGCAGATAGTTGAGTTGTCACACACCATGACGGTATTTACTTAACCTTTTCTCCCTAACAAGCGGCCTACCTGTTCCCAGGACTGGCACATTGTGTGTAGATTCTGTGTTGTCTAATGGCCCATCACACAGCCCATCCATCCATCTATTTTCCTCCACTTATCCGGGACCGGGTCGCGGGGGCAGCAGTCTAAGCAAAGATGCCCAGACTTCCCTCTCTCCAGACACTTCCTCCAGCTCCTCTGGGGGAATGCAGAGGCGTTCCCAGGCCAGCCGAGAGACATAGTACCTCCAGCATCTCCTGGGTTTTCCCTGGGGCCTTTTCCTGGTGGGACATGCCCGGAACACCTCCCTAGGAAGGCGCTCAGGAGGCATCCAAAACAGATGCCCGAGCCACCTGAGTTGGCTCCTCTTGATTTGGAGGAGCAGCTGTTCTACTCTGAGCTCCTCCCGGGTGACCGAGCTCCTCAACCCTATCTCTAAGGGTGTGCCTGTCCACCCTGCAGAGGAAGCTCATTTCAGCCGCCTGTATCCGGGATCTTGCCCTTTCGGTCATGACCCAAAGCTCATGACCATAGGTGAGAGTCGGAACATAGATCGACCAGTAAATTGAGAGCTATGCCTTACAGCTCAGCTCCTTCTTCACCACGACGGACCAGTACATTGACCGCATTACTGCAGAAGTTGCACCGATCTGCCTGTCAATCTCCTGTTCCATCCTTCCCTCACTCGTGAACAAGACCCCAAGATACTTAAACTCCTCCACTTGAGGCAGGAACTCTCCACGAACCTGAAGGGAACAAGCCACCCTTTTCCGACTGAGAACCATGGCCTCGGACTTGGAGGTGCTGATTCTCATCCCAGCCGCTTCACCCTTG